GGAGGGGTAAGAGGGTTATCAGCTAGGGCTGGAGACGGTTGAGAATGGAGCAGCACAGGCCCAGAGAAGAGTGATGACATGCACTCTCATCATCAGGGTGATGCAGTACTCATCCACGGCTGGGGGAGGGGGAAGGAGGACTCCTACAGAGAGGGCAAAAACGAGGACTGGGAAATGGGGAGATGAAACGATGAGGACAGGCTGGGGCTGTAGGTGCAGTGAGTTGGACGCTGGACCAAAAACAGAGAGCGATGGGGATAAAGAAGATGAGGGCAGAGCAAGCATGGATCCTGGAAAAAAGGGCGAGAAAAGGGGGGCAATGGGAAAGAAAGTATCTGTAGTTGTTCTGGAGTTCGAGGGAGGAAGGATGACATTAGGAGAACTGGAAGAACAGAGCAGTTCTCATGGCGGGTGCAGATGTTTTCCATGAGGGGGTTGAGGTCAAAGAGCTGCTTGTCCGACTCCTCTCATTGCTTGGAGGAGGTGAATGAAGGTTGGATGGCCGAGTCCTAGAGTGGCTAAAAGGCCAGCAAGTGCAAGGAGATGATGAGGTGGGAGCAAAATGAGGAATGTGGCAGAAATGTAGGAGTGGGAAAGTTAAGGTCTGACAGTACTGGGTGCAGAAGACGTCTGTCTCTGACGTGACCAAAATGCTGAACAAAAGAAAAAATGTGCACAAAAGCTGCTCTGCATATGACAGAAATAAAAGTATGCATATAACATAAAAATAAGTGCAAGATTACAACTTGATCTCCTGCTGAACTACTGTTTAACAACTCCCCATCTTGTGTCACATCCTTCTCTCAGAACATTTATGTTTGCATGGAGATATACTGTAATGCATTCTCTGAAAATTATAAAGTAGAAATAGTTATCAATGTGACCTATTCAGCATCACAAAGAGTTATATCATGATTTGGGATTCACCATTGTGCGTGACTGGAACCCCTGGTAAGCTCTGAATCAGACAGTTCTGGTTTCAGAATACTGCACTGCTCTTCAAGCCTTCTTTCAGTCCTTCTCTGGATCAAAGAACCCCTTGATCAGATTGGTTTTCACACCATATACAGGACAGACACATTTAGGTTTCAACAAGATTTCAACAAGATCTGAAACAAGTCGTGCCATTTCGTACAACAGAACATTAATTTAGAAATATATCCATCAGAATACGTACTGGCTGTTGTAGTCAACACAATTTGCATAGAGAGATTAAAATAAGATCTTGAAGCTTCCCAAATGAATATATGATTGTTTTGCATCTGTCTCCAAGGGCTTTAAGTGCTTTCTCGTGTCCTGGTACTGTTGTGATAAATGTTGGATATATCTTGTTAACTGATTTTGTACTTCATTCCCATTCCACAGACTCACACAGAAACTGAAAGTAAAAGACTTTGCTGCCATGGTGCCTTTAATCCAGCCCATATAAATAAGTAATGTGTTACATAGCCAGATTCAGCTGTAGAGTCAATGTATTTACTTTGAAGCCTCATACAGAAAACCTACCAATAAATGACAGCATATCGTTTTCCTCATGCCCTGAATTAGATGTTCAAGGTCATGCTCCAAACATATATTACTCCACCCAAAGGCTGGAGTAATATAACCTATAAATAAATTATAGGTGTCTGTGTTATGGAAAAATTCCAACAACTATCGATACAAACTATGTAAAATACTTTGTATAATAAAGTCAGAGTCATTTGTTTAAACAAGAAACCCATTATTGATAACACAGAATCCATTAACTCAGTCAGTCTGGTTGCGGTGCAATAATAAAGTCCTTCCTGAGCAATATTCACAGAATGAATATTCAATATTCAATAGAATAAGTGACTCCATCCCATAAACATACAATTTGCCTGCAGTTGTATAAACTGCAAAACACTCTATGGAAAATATGTTCAGTCACGACTGTCAGTATTTAACTGTATATTCTTATACATCTATTTAATGTGTGTATGCCTTATGCTTTGGTACATCTGAAAATATACAAATTTGCCAGACAGGTTATTAGGTTTCCAAACCTCAAAGTTCAATGTTATCAGAATTATTATATAATAACTTCGTATAATCACTTTAAATCACTTGTACTAAATTTAAATGTACTAGTAAGTATCTTGATTTTAGCAGTTGGTGAAAAGCCTTTTTAGAGACTTCTGTGAGTCTTCAAAAAGGTCACAGAATAGTCCACAAAGTGAAGGCCATTAGCCTAAAGCTATGCATCATGGCAGTGAACGTTGGTTGTTTTATAGCTTCCTAATTTCCTGAAGTTGTGTATAGAACTAGATGTACGAAGTATCAAGTCAGCTGTGTGTGGTAATCCTGATTGATTAACAAAATGTACAGTAGGCGTGAAATGTGAGTGTGTGAGTGTGTGAGAGGTGTTTTTTCTTTTGCCTTCAGTGAGTCATGATGAAAAGGTCATTTCTGCAGTGCACAAATTTTCCCTACAGATCAACTTTTTAATTGTAGTGAAGAAAAAAAAAACATTACTTTGTTGAGATGCATACATGTATAAATTGCTATTCCCTTATTTCAGTTGTGTAGGTGTGTGTTGGATTGTACAGCAGGTATACATGAGGTTAATCCACAGAAAAAAAAGATAGCACAATGGCTGGATAATAATCTGTTCTGGGATTTATGTACTGGTCTGATCTTGCATGAATATTTTAATGTTAACGAGAAAAAAGTTATCATGAATCAGGCCTCATCTGCTCAACTCCTTTGCAAATTAATATTATAGTATGCTATATTTTGTACTGCAGAACACACAAAATTACACTGGGAGGCCTCATTCAAATAGCTGTCCTTATTCTGTCTTCTGATGTTCTTGCCAGGCTTACTGTATTTCTTCAAGAATCTAGACTTTTTTTCCTATTGGGTTATTTAAACTGGTAGAAGAACTATGATTCAATGAGACCTCTTTGATATCCCTCTACATAAACCTTTTCAATATCATACAAGCTGGCACTACAAACATCTTTTCAACCTGTGAATGCTCCTGCATTTATTATGTGCTTACCGTAGGCTATTAATTTACTATGTTCACTACTGCTTTACAAAGCAGATGAATTTATAACAATTAGAGTCTCCTGATGGGCAATTATGCGAGTATAAATATAAGTAATTAATTCTGCTAGTCATGAATGACTTTCAAATACGCGGATATACCGCCTTCCTTGTAATATTAAACAAAACTTACGATAAACGTACATGAGCAAAAAACAAATGGGTCAGGTCTTCCAACGCTTTTTTAACTTTTGCAGCACACAGATCGAGATACTTTTGCAATTAATAAACCGACTTTATTGGCTCTCCGATGAGTGCAGGCGGGGAAATTCACAAGCAGGGAATCCCATGCGCTTTATTGTTTTCATATTATGCGGGGCACAGAACAGCGTCCACGATAATCTTTACCTGTTCTCCAGCATCAAAAGAAAAAAAAGCGTTTTTTTTTTGTTTCACCAACAACCGGCAGGCGCATACGGTATGAAAATAAAAACGGCCAACTGTAAGAGCCCTCACTGGTGAGCTCTCCACCTACAAAAGAGCTGCGTTAATACTGTATACACTTTACCTGTAAAACGTACAATTATACTCGATAGTGTTATGTTCGCATCATTGCTGCGTCCACAGCACATCTCTGTTAGCGGCTGGCGATGGAGAGAACTGTTATTCAGCTCAACACGCTAGACACCGCTTTTCACATGATAGGAAATCGACTTCTTGCCTTAGAGCATTTGTGCAGGACCGTCGTGTTGGGAAAGTCGTGGGCTATTTTTAAAATAATTATTTAAGATTTGATCTTCATTTTCAGTATAATGATTTAAATGGGTAATTAGAGACGGGCGGGTGTAATCTGCTTTGATCCAACTATATTAAAGCATTAATTTTCCCTGTACCATTTTCTCTCTGTGTTCTTTCTCATCCTTCATCAGGCATTTCAGAAATCTCTACCGCATAAAATGGATTATTCAACAGAAAAAAATCATTTTCTTTTCATCCTCACACATTTAACAGCAGCTCTTGTCTGTACTTACAAACTGCAAGTTTAAATACATAATGCTGTACTGTACTGTATGAAGGTTTCATGTGCATCTCCGCAAGTCTAAAGTAGAACCCTTCACAGAGGTAGCCTCGGAATCAGCAGAATGCACTGTCAATATTGTAATATATATATTTTTTCAGATTTCTGAAATTCACTCTGCCGTGGCGGTACAAAAATTGGGAGAAATGAAAATGCTGCCAAGCATGTATATTATCCCGCTGTTCGGAATGAAGTCACCGTAAAGGCAACTATAAAAAACGCGCAGTGAGCTGCCAGCGTACTCTTGCAGTTACAGGAACTTACCTTACAAAATTGACAGAAAACGGTCAAATTAAACTCCACACTGCCAGTACGCGTACTTGTGTGAATGAAAAACAGGCAGTAAATTACGCGTTTGTACCACGAATCCCTCCAGCATGCGAGGAATTTAATTGATTAAAATCCCCCCAGTCCAACTTCGCGTGATTTCCTTTCCATTTTGATCGTTTTGTGGTGTCGTTTTACCATATGCGTCAACTTCAACTAAATTGCGTTGAAATAGGGTTAACGGGCATTTTTTCGAGGTTCTGCTACCTGTTCCTCTCAGGGCGACGCGCCGTTAACCCACACATTGTATCTAAGCACATACCTAAAGTTTTTAGGGTTTGAAGCACCCATTAATCTAATATTAAGATGGACAAAACTCTTATACTATGTCTGTTTCGTGTTGCCTGCAATTAACTGCAGCTGCAGTAGGCAGGTTTCCACTGTCTTATAATTGCCCTTATCGGTGTCCTATAAATGCTCACCTTTAACTGTACTATATTAATGTAGTTCTTGTGGTGATTTATTGTCAGTATTATGTATTTTATGCAGGTTTTCCCACCGCCCTCCTCTCACAGCGTGCTTCGGCGAATGTTATGAATTGCGCGCAGCCCCCAGCTGCTCACCCGCTGTCACGTGGTGCCTGTTCCAGTTCCAGTCCCCGTCCTCTGTATTTCCACTTGGAGTGGGCTTCTAACTCAGAGCTGTGAAGTACTCGGAGGCTGTCAAAAAAATACCCCGTGCCGTGGATCCTATTAAAAGCTCTTCGTTCTTAATTATTTCGCCAGTTCTGATGTTTTTTCTACAGGCTACAGCCGGGAGAGGATGCGGCTTTTCGTTTACACAACTTTGCTTGGATTTCTCCTCAGTACAGGTACTGTATGTGGATTCCTTCTTCGGTTCTGGGTGTTTTACGTGGCTGCCGGAGTTCAGGTTAATTCGATTTTTATATATATATATCTATCTGGTATGTCCTCTTTGGATAGGTGAATCTGGCTGGTTGCACAGCTGCGGGAATGAATTGTAGAAGAATCCTCTGAGCCACAACTCCATAAGAAGTGTATTGATGCACTGTACTTTATTGTCGGCTTTAAATTATCGGGATTGTATTAAATCTTGAGTTTGCTGTGCCGCGATAGCCGTAGTTAATAAAGGGTATATCCAAAACGCAACCTTATGTCACTGTATGGAGGTATTGCAAACCTTTAACTGTTTCTAAGTAATGGATTTCAAATCATCTTAAAATAATGCACTAGGATACATTGTCTTTTTGAAGTGTTGGAGTAACATACTGTATATACTGTACGAAAGTCTTCTCTGTTGCGATACATTTCATTCTGTCTGCGGTACTTGATTATCTCTGATTTTCCAGAGATCAACTTCACTATTCAGATCACTTAAGGGTTGTAACTTAATACTGTTGTTTTTATGAAATATTATGCCATGACGTAAATTTGGTCTCATTATGTTTACTCAAACACGCCTTGACCAACACATTTATTTTAAATTAAAGAATGAGGAAACTGAAAATAGCAATTTCCCAGTACAGTATGAAATGACATTAAGAAACTTAGCAGAAATATTCAAAGATAAGGAACTAGTGGATCGTACATCAATTACTTGCTTTGATGGGGAAATATCAGTTTGTCAAACTCGGATATCAGATCAGACTGTTATTTAACTTACAGTACATGTTTATCATTGCAACATCTTATCATCTGTCTCCGTAATAGACAGTACATGATACTGCCCAGTGTTCAATGTACAAAACGAAGCGTCTAAAATCATAGTAACATACAGTATATATTATATGTAGGATTTTATGTTACATATTGTATAAGGCAGTAGTACACAGGCATCTGTTTTTCTATATCCAGACAACTGGGTGAATGACTAGTTTGAATTTAACCAGGACATGCAGGCTTGAGAAGACTTGTCACCGTGGATCGATCGTCAATAGGAAGCTTTTTTATAGAACAGCAAACATTTATGATAGTTATTAGATGGTGAATTTTCCTTCAAGGCTTTATTCTTTATATTTTTCAAAAGGTATTATCGTTATTGTATATGTGATGATCGTGTGACACACAAGACCGAGAAAAGTTTGTACATTGTTGATTTGTTGTGAATTTATAAAAATCATTAAGCGATGCCTTTAAGAAACTGGACAGCTTCTGTATTTGTCAATTAAGGCATATTCAGACGGTGTGCTCTTTTTCTAAAGATTAGTCTAATTCTATAATGAGCACTTTTATAAGCATCTAGAGAAATGTAGATGCAATATACTGTAAAACAGGCTTCCTGAATACAGTAATTAATACTTTTCATACTGAGTGCTACTGGTGAAGACATAAAAACTGAGAGGGTGACAACAAATGACAGGTCAGTGTGCTTTCTGTTCCGTGTGCTGTTCCTTCACAGTGCGTTGATCAGTACAGATCTAGACACTTGCTTCCCAGTTCTTTTAATTAGAATATTAAATTCAGAGACTTGGAGCAAGACAAAAGACGTCCCTGCAACTGAAAAGGGCCAGATTTGTCAGATGCGCATATGATTGCCAGCTTCAAGAGCATGTGTGGGCCCGAGGCAGTTGTAGTCTTCAGACGGTCAAGTTGGCAACAAACAGGAGGATTGTGAGAAATAGAGAGGACTGTAGCTGTATAACATTGTGTTGGTATGGGGTGAAATCTCCAAGCCATTTGGTATGGAGCAGGTGACTCTTAACAAAGTTAACATCCAGCTCAAGAAAATGCATAAAGAATTATTATTCGTGTAGTTTGTGGAAGCCCCAGTCTAATAGAGGATACAGAGGGAGAATCGTCAGACATCTTCATAGTCTGGGGTGAAAAAGAAGCTCAAGCCATGCTTCTCTGGCCATGTGAAGTGAAATTCAACAGGTAAAACGTGAGCATTGCTGCTTTTTTTGGAACACCCACAGTAGGTGTTTCTAAGGGATTTATGGTTCTTAGACTGGTCATGTCTGGTACAGTATGTCTGGTCATGTAACCCCAAAGCCTTCATGAATCCACTTGCAAGCCTCAGCCTGACATGGTGGGCTGTCTGTGCAGGAGTGGAGTGCGATTAGAGAGCTCCCACTGGGCTCGTGCTGGTGGATGGGTTTGTGAAGGAACACATCAACACATCAGGATTGATAACGTAGCATCATCTTTATGCCCTCATTCACACACACACACACACACACACACACACACACACAGCCCGGACAAGGCAAACAATAACACCACAAGTCCGCCACGTCTGGGCCAGACGATAGATTGTTAACCCTTCTGAACGAGAAGATCCCATTAGACCTGGGACTCTCACGGGCTGTGCTTCTGCAGGGTGGGGCTGCTGATCTTATCCACACATTGTGTAAGTGCATCGTAGCTTTGGAAGTGACTTCCGAGAGTATTAATCGCACCCATAATCTGGAAGCACAGCATACACAGTAGTTCAGAGATATTTCGATTTTGTTTAAGATCTGTACGTTCACTTATTTCAGGTGTCCGTTGACTTAGAAATACTTCCTTATCCCCTGTTCTTCGATGTCAGACCCCTACCTTTAACCCTTACAATTAAAAAGCTCTGAAATCAGCAATCCTGAGGTGGTCCTTGAGGATTCTGTCTTTAACATCCTTTGATGCAACACTGCATGAGTCTCCGACTGTGGTTTCTTAGCCTTACAGCTAGAGCTGGTTGAAACACATTCGATTTAGAAATTTGCTGTGGAAACTTTTCAGATTGAATTATGACTGGATGGTACCGTCAGCATCTTACTGATGAACACACAGCTGTATTATGAATTTAAAAAGCAATATGCTGTTGAGAATTAATGGCATGAATTAATTGAATTGCAAATATGTTTTGCATACATATGTATGTGTTTAAAAAAAGGCTTTTAGGTGGGCTGTTCAAATATAATACAATATTGAATTAAAATATAGTACAGTTCATCTTGTATGTGCATTAGCAGTGATGATAATACATTTTTCTGTATTGAAGCAGAGTTGGAGTCATGTAGAGACGAGCCATAAAACCTTAACTTAGCTTTAAACTTCAATATTTAAGATAGAACCAAATATCCCATTAAAGTATGTTGTCTTCACTTTATATGACATACCTGTATTATATTTAATGTTTTAATATAGTATAGATTTTTGCAGAATTATTAAAACAGAGATGTAGACTATTCTCAGGTTGGATTTTAAAGAGGTACATTTTAATATGTTCATAGAAGCTTAATTAAATTCCATTTAAACACCTTCGTAATGGGGTATGTGTGGTACTTGCCAAAGTATTAATGTACTGTATGAGTTCTGAACCAATTGTTCAATGGTGAAAAACAATCATCTTCCATTTTGTTTTAACATGTCCTCATTGTTGAGAACTGAGGCTGACACTCAAAAGTAACTTGAACACGAAACCTTTCAATCAGAATTTGTACAGTACGTAGCTGTTAAGAAGCATCTAGGAAATAGGAACTTTTTTGTGTTTTTTAAAAATATTTTCAATGTTTAGTATGTTTTAAATTATATAAATACATATTTAATAATGTAAACACAAATGAACTTTAGGCTTTATTTCTACTGGGCATATGATGGCTCTAGTGTTTATTTCTGTGAAAAGGGGCGATGACGAATTATGTCATGTTGAATTGATTGAATAGTCTGTAGTGTACTGAAAAATATTAAATAAAAAGTTTTGCCCTTTTGAAGAGTTGAATGGGAATGTGTGCTTGAAGATCACCATCCTTTACCTTATGGATTTTATGATGTTTTTGTTGTTTTAATTCCTATTATTCAGCTGTGTTTGCAATGTGACAGATATGCCATAATTGTCAGGATTTAAAATTGTAATATTCTGTTCAGTTCAAATGACAAATGGCAGCTACAAACATTTTGAATTACTTGATGTAAATCATTAGAAAAAACATTTCCATTTATTTCATAGATGCATTTATTTGACTACTGCCATACGTGATTTATAGCATGTGTAATGACTCTGGATAATAATTAGATGTGATTAATCTAGTGGAAAATCTGTTATTTATAAGCCTTGAGTGAGGAGCTGGTTGCACATGTACAACAAAGTAAAATATATCATTGTCTGCTCTTTTCTTTTCTCTTCTCAATCTCGCAGGAATTGCATTGCAAATCCAGTGTTACCAGTGCGAAGAGTTTCAGCCCAACGACTGTTCCACACCAGAGTTCATTGTGAACTGTACAGTCAATGTGCAGGACATGTGCCAAAAAGAAGTGCTTGTGAGAAGCGATGGTAAGAATCTGCAAGTTAAATCCTTTGCTTTCCAGTCAGTGAAACATTTCCCGCATGTCGGGTCTTCACTCGTTCGGAAACAAGTGAAGACTGCAGATGCTGTGGTTGCCTGGGAGAAACTAGGGAGCTTTGCAGTGCTGGATGGCAACAGCATGTACAGTACCTGTGTTGTGGAATGTTTAGTCAAAGCTTCTTTAGCAATACAGTGAGATGGCTAAAATAGGCCACTACATGAAGCTTCAGAAACATTCGGATTCCATCCAGTCCCTGCATTCAGAATTACTTTTATTTTTAAAGATGAAAGGAAAGAGCACAGCGCAGTCTGAAACAGTCTTCTTTTCAAGGCTCCAAAATGCTTTTAAACACTCTCAGAGCTTGTTTGCTGATCAGCCGCTTTCATTAAAGACTCGCAGTACGGCTTTTAGAAAAATGCAGTTCTGGGAGCATGAATAACTGGGCTGAGGGACTGCCAGGTTAGTATCAGTCCAAACGTAAAGTGGCCTTGAGTGCAAACACAACAGGCCACTGTTTGATGGCTCGGCATCTTCTTTGTTTTTATGCTGGTGTCTTGTGTTTCGACACATAATTTTGTCCATTTTGCTGGCTTTTACCTGGCTTGATGCCGTCTCTTAAGATGGAAAATGGAACCCTTTTGTTGTATTTCCTTTTGAGATGTGTAAATGAAATTAATGTACTGTAACTAACAGTATAAACTTTCTTCCCTGTTTCTTCTGTGCTGTAGGATAATGGTCTAAAAAAAAATAGAGGGGATTTTCACAAGATGCCGTTATGTGTAATGACCTTTTTATCCAGCATTAAATAAATATACAAAGACAGAGGACCGTTCCCCTTTTAGCTTTTGTGATGATGAACATTCATAAGGCGGTTAATAGTAAAACCTAATACCATATTTCAACTTAGATGTTTATTCTATGCCAAAAAGCAGATTTTGCTACTAAAACGATAACAAATATACGGTATTCATGTAATCACCTTTAAAATATTCAGGCTTACAATATTGTTTGAATAACTAAGATAGCAGACATCTATTATCTCTCAGTCTTGGAGATGGTCTCGGCTGTGAACATGGAGATTTTCTTCCACCACTATGTGTCAATACATGAACGTGCACATACGTTTTTTGCATTTGTTCCATGATGTCGAGATTTTGAAAGTGAAGCCTGTTTAATGTTTTATTGCCTGCAGAATACAATCTCAGAATGACGAGAATGGTGCAACTAGGAATGAGAAATAACTGGAGGCAAAGCGAAGTGCTGGAGTGTCAGTATGTGATTTTGGAAAACATATTGGACGGTATGAATGCTAACACACACAAGAGAAACTGGCTGGAGGAATTATGAAGGAATTGAGCTATGGGTCATTTTAGTCCTTGCTTGTCACTTCGTATCCTTAGACATGTGAATGGAGAAGCCATTACAATTTGATGGAACTTCAGAAACATTTTCCAAACAGATTTTTAATATGTTGTTGGGGTTAATTTTATAACACAGAGAATAAAGTGGACATAGTTAAAGCATACAGGTATCAAATGTAGAATAAAATATAATAAATACTGATGTTGTACATCGCTAGTACTAGTTAATGACTTATACAGTAGATATTCAATAATAAACCAATGTTAACCTATAATAGAAATATATTTGAGATCCACCTGATAAAATACAGCATAAATACAGCATAAATTAGAATGAGTCACAGTTTCATAAATGTCATGCTATGTACAGTAATTGAGTAATTGTTTTATCTGGAACTGTCAGAGCTTTGATTACTTTTCACTCCAGCTGCAATGTGGTCTAAGTCAGTTCTGGAACGGCAGTAATCAGAACAAAACTTGCGGACAGCTTTGAAAGTACTGTAGGTTCAAGTCAGGAGTACAAAGATTGATGATCTTAAGCCTTATCTAATGGTACCATGGCAGTAGTCTCTAGTGGTTCCAAGACAAGATTAAGCTGGCTGGTGTTGAGCATCATTTTGTGGGTTTCACTTTCAGTATTGAACCTAGACCCTGCGTGGGGCTGTTGATAGAAGTTTAGGCGGATGATAAAGTGATGAATATGGACAATGATATATACCAGGGGTTCCCAGTCCTGACCCTGGAGACCCACCCACTCACCTGCTGGCTTTCCTTGCAGCTGACATCCTTAAATGTGTCCCTAACCGAACCAACACGCTGCTTGCTTAGAATGTTTGTGAGATTTTTTTGTTGTTCACAAAGGTGGGAGACCTTAAGTCACGTAGGAAACACGGTAGTTAAAATGCACACTTGAACAGGTTTAGAAACCCAAAAGAATTAGAGAACTCTAATTAAACCTGTTATTGGGTCTATTAAGGGTTCAGTTATTTAATAGAGTGTTTCTCGGGTGAAATACAAACCAGCAGGACCCAGACCTGGAACCCCTAATATATCCTGGATTGACACCAATTATTCTAAACGAGTGAGGGGTAAAATATAGAAATCGTGACACCAATTTTAATATGACAATTAATAAATAAAGTACCCTCTACAGTGAGGAATGATTCTAAACATGGCAGTGTGATTTCCTAGTAGTATATCAGTAAATATTTGGTACACTGTAGATGCAAGTAGATAATTTACTCACAGTTATTACAAACTAAACATAGAATACAATATACACAGTCTTTAATCTGCAGCTTATTTACAAAGACTGCGAATCCCTGAGTGTTGTCCATTGACAGACCAGACGACCCAACCTTACTGCAAAATACCCCAGACAGTTGTTTAGGCAGGTAATGCTGTTTTTTACGTAACAAAAGACTTCCTGTTGGGCTGATTTGAGAGAACCATTTCTCTCAACATGAAAATGCAAGTTACAAGTACAGCCTGGCTGGTATTAAAAGGCCATAAACAATCTGTCAGATATTAAACAATACAGACCTTTTTTCTCAAAATTGCAGCCTTTCTATTGAGTGCTCAGTCAAACACTCTTGCTTCTTCACTTCCAGGAAGAGGGAGAGATTTTGTTTTTCTGTATGGGGATTTTCTCGAAGTGGAAAACATTGCGGCCAGTCAGAGGCAGAGCCTAAGTTTCTCAATGACCTGATGATTGTTCTGGTTTATATACATGCTCTTTATTTTTCTCCTGCAATGTAGTTGTTAATTACCAGTTGCAGTTGTAGTTAATTGTTGTCTGCTGTTGTGTTTTGGCAATACTGCCAGCTGTGTTTTTTCCACACATATGACATTTGTCTGCACTACTGTTACGTGTCCATTCACAGTTCACTAGTGCTGCAATCTTCACAGGAAGCATGTGCAGCACAGCAGAGCATGAGGTCTTGTGTCCTGTTTGATTTCTTATTCAGTTCTATTTTGATGTAGAGCATAAAACACAGACTAATATTAGCAAAATAATGCAATGTACAGTAGATGTACATTATTTTTTTCTATTATTCCAATGTCAATATTGTGTCCCAGTCAGTGGTTTGCTACACCAAAATCCAGAGGCTGGAGTGCTTGACCAGTTAATGAGGCCCTGATGTGTGTCACATCACATCTTTGTTCCTACTTTCAGGTGAAAGTTTAATTCAAAGGGAATTTTAAAGATGAACACAACTTCCTGTTGAAGTGCAGTACATTGGTGCATTGTATTTAATAAACTTTGTGACAGTACAGTAAAGTTGTGGGAAGACAATGTTGCAGACATTCACATGAACTAATTAAATCATTAAATATCTGCTGTTAAAAATCTTTAATTTTCAAATAGAATCACTATTACTTTACAATATTTATAGGTTTCTTACACATGAGTCAGCGCCCAGGATTCAAGGATGGGCTCTGGCATTAAGATAAAAAAGGGCAACAGACTGAATAGACAGAAGGAAATAGGAGAGCTACAGTACTTCTTACAAGTTAACATTCACATTACTGAGTGAGGACCAATCTTGCAGTAAGAAAGACAAATCAACCTACAGTCTAAACAGCAGCACAGGCTAGAGTTTGGATTAAGAAGTACAAGGTTGTTCTGAATCAAAGGGGGACACATTAGTTATATTCTTGAGCAGCGTCTTCCTCTCAATAAAATGGGTATATTAATAAAAAAGTATATAAATGGGTACAGATGTAAGCTGCTTCGTAAATAGCTTTAAAAGCTCTTTAAAATACCGAGAGCATCCGGAAAATAAATGAATAATTAAATTAATTAACCCTGCCCATGAAAATTATACAGCCTTTACACAATTTAATGAATGGTGAAATTCATGTATAACTTACTGATAGAACAGGATAGTTATGAAAATGGTAATCCAGTTCAATGCATCTCATACATGAAGAATTTTCCCTCTTCTCTAATTGATCTGCTGTGTAGTAGGGCCATTGGTGCAATAGCTGCAGAACTGCCGATTATATGTGGATAATGGAATGAAAATATGTTTAAAAAAGTTTTGGAAGTTCAGTATGAAAGACAACACTGCGTTTTAAACACTGAGGTGTGGTCATTCAGTCAGGTCAGAGTCACTGATGTCCAGTGGTGATCCTGAAGGGACACATTGTCTTCTGGGTTTCATCTCACCCTGGACTCCTCTCAGGTCTTTTACTCATTGATGATTTTTGTGAAGTTATCTATTAAACCTTGTGGACTGTAGCCCTCCAGGACCCGGAGTGAATATCACTGAGGTGATATTCCATTGCCTATTCACTTGGTCCTGGAGAGATGGAGTGTCTACATACAGTACTGTAATTACAGTCCAGCTGAATTCACTCATTATTGGCTTAATTTAACCAGTTTAATGGCTTTTCAGGTTTGTCTGTTTTAAAAAGAACTTAAAGTTATTTTCTAACACACATGTGCTCCAGGACCAAGATTAGGGGCCCCTGACCCTATTATGTTTCCTCAGGTACTGTATATATTGTTCAGATCCTAAAACATGTTACTCATCACCTCCTTTCACCAGCAGTACGTGTCTTTGTACACACAGGCACACTCTGTATTTGTTTAAATAAAAAAAATACAAATAAATATAAATACTAGGTGCGGTGTTTAAGAAATTCAGTTATTCCTTATCCATTCATCTTAAGTGAAACTGCAAACCAAAAGATTTTGTAAACTTTTTTAAGAGTATTTTTCTGCCTATATTCACATGTATTCAATCTGGATCTAACCACACTGCCTTCTCCAAGTTTGAGGTCAGCTGTACAAGTTCATTTAAATGCATTTTCTGTAAAAATGTACCTGTATTAATTAATTCTATGCAGTTCAAAGTTTAATAAGCGCTGATTCTTTGAAGTGAGTAAAAGAAAATGTTGCCATAGGGAGGTGTCAATACAAACTTTATGATTGATTTAAAGTGCTATCAGAATAACATTTTCACAGTTTTCCTTGTAAAAGTGATTATGCCCTAAGTACGATGCATTGCACATTTGCTTATATTTGTTTTGTTACTATTTTGTAATTTTACTCATTTTGCTGCCTGCAACATTAGCCTTTTCCAGGATAAAGAAAAAAAAATCACCCCCTTTTTATGTTTCACGGGTCATTTAACTGTGTAATATTGGATATTCACAAGAAATATATTGCAACAAAGTGAGTTTTAATAGCCTGTATCAATCCTAAACTTTCATTTGAGTTCCATTATTTAAGTAGATTACATTTAATCTATAATTGACTTTCATGAGATAATTTGAGAATTATAGATGTTGGGATATTTTGAACAAAACAGAAAGGTTGAAAATGCCTTTCAAACTTTCACCACAAGACTCAGGATTTTGTATTCAAACAACAAACTTGATTCATTGAAACAAATTGAATAAATTAAGGCTCACCAGTCTTCTTTTAAATATCTCAGCATACAAGGCAGCTTTACAAGAACTAAATAGCCTAGTAAGTATTACAGCCAGTTTGTATACGGCTTTTAGTGGTATATATGAAAAAGGGATTTAAGGACTCATATTTAAAACATAGCCTAAATAATTACAAGAAATTCAGACCTTGTGTTACTAAGATTTTGGCTGTAGTGTTACCTGTCAGCGAGTAGTGTCCGTGTTGATGATGCTCCAAGTTGAGCAGAGATGTATCGTACACCTCTTTTTTTTAAAGGAGATTTAACATTTAATCTGTAAAAATTTGTTTGTGTTTCACAGCAGCTTAAGTTTATGTCTTTTCATGACAATTAAATATTCTAAAATATCTGTGAAAAATAGCCTCGCTAAAAAGCAGTTTCATAAGACCTGAGATTTTAGCTAAATCTCTGAAACTGATTTGCACTCCTTAATTTCTCTACTGCAAAGATTAATCTCTATCCTCTGGTTTACTTATTGTTAGAACTTTGAAAAATGTGCT